CTGCTACTTAACTGGTATTCCTTTTAAACGCGCGTCGAGCGAGTTCTTCGATACAGCTTCTCATATATTTTCAATTAGTAAATATTTAAATTGAAATGCTTTAATATAATGAATATATTTCGCAACTAGAATAATAAGTATAAAAATTCTTTTTATAATTTTTAGGAGACACAAGAAAAAAAATATAAATTTTAACCTGATTTTGTGGTAAAAATTCCCTGCAACAAATTCCCCACAAAATTTATAGTACCTTTTTTCTGCGAATTTAATTAATTCTCCCGGCAACACAAATTGGCTATATCATATTAAATCAGTTAAAATTTTTTTACTAATTCAAAAAGTTTCCCTTTAAATTTGAAATATTCACTTTTGATTTCTTAATTAGCGACAATTAGTTCATTAAACAATTAAAGAAATCTTAAGTTTTAATTAATTAATTCATTAAATTAATGACATTTATTAGATATTCAACATTACTAAAATATTAAAATAAAAAAATATGAAAAAATTAAATTATTTATTGCGTTCTGTTTCACTTAAAACAAATTCTAACTAATTGGACTTTCAAAAAAATAATTAAGCATTTTGTAGTAAGACACAAATATTAATTTTTAGTAAGGACTGACAAATTTAATTAAATTTATTTTTACAAAAAATTAGGTTAAAGAAAGTTAAAATAAAAATGTGTTTTATTTTAATATCTTACAGCATTTGCAGTGTTATTAATAAAAAAAGTACTAGTTTTCAAGTATATAAGAACGATTAAAATGGTTGTAGAAAACTACTATTTCTTTTAGAAAATTTTTAAAATAGTAGTCTTTAACTAAATTAATAGTCAGCTAAGGGGAGAAATATCAATTTTCTACTAAGAATTAGTAAATTTTTAACAAGAATTAATATTTTTTTACTAAGAATTAGTAAAAAAAAATTTCCTGACGAGGAAATCGTATTGATTTTGAAACGTTGCAGTAATTTCTATATGAAAAAACCACTTGTCCGAATGTATTCGTGTAAAAAAATTTTTTTTACCTACTATTCCAATTAAAATCAACTCGGACGTGAAAGTTTATTCAATAAGAATTAGTAGTTTTCTACTCAAAATTAGTATATTTCTACTGAGAATTAGTAGTTATATACTAAGTATTAGTAAATTTATACTACACTGTAAAAAAACACTCTTTTATAAACTCCCCAGGGGATTCTATGAAAGTCGCACCCATTGGGGAGTTAATGCCAGGGGAGTTGGATGAAGAGAGTTAAAACTTTACACCCGCGGAAAAAATAACTCGCGCGGGTGTTGATGAAGGGAGTTGATAGGAGTTAGTAAATTAACTCTCTTTTGGAGTTGATTTTTAACTCGAAAAATTTAACTCCCGAGTCCGTTAACTCCCTAAATTTTTTACAGTGTAAGAATTAGTAGTTTCTTAAAAAGAATTAGTAATTTAATTTAAGAATTAGTAGTCCTTTTTCAAGAATTAGTATATTTATTATTATGATTAGGAGTTTTTACTATGAATTAGTTGATTGGCACTAAGGAATTTTCTATTAGGAATTAGTAGTTCTCTTTAAAGAATTAGTAAATTTTTAACAATAATTAGGAACTTTTACTGTAAAGTAGTTCATTTCTACTAAGAATGACTGTTTTCTACTAATAATCAATAGTTTTCTACTAAGAATTAGTAGTTTTCTAATAATAAATGGAAGTTTCTAAATCTGAATTAGTTAAAAGTAATGTAACTAAATTAAATTAGTAGAAAATTCTACCAATTCTTAGTAACTTTCTACTGAAACTTAAGTAAAAAATTTTGTTGATATTCTTTTAATCGAATTATAAATAAAACACTATATTTCATTAGATAACTCTACCGATAACACATCTCAACAAAAAAAAACGAAAAATTTTTGCGCCTTGGTTCATATAATGATTTTTCTATTTATTATTTACTAAAATAAAGGAAAAATATACATATTATTTTTAAAGTTTGCTTTTGTAGTAGTTGCCAACATGTTAAAACTCTTTAAAGCTATGAGCTGCAGGATGTCTTTGAAAGTACATACATATTCTTTAGATAAATTTAAACACAACCTGGGAGCATATTTCGAAGAGCAAAGAGAACGTTTCTAAGATGTTTACATATTTCACTGTCACATATATTGACCATTAATATCTAGATAATAAATCTTAATATCCATTTTTCTTAGTGTGCAGTACTCAAAAACACAAACGTAGGAGTAACAGAGTTCACTTTTAAAATTTTTTGCACTGTTTTGTAAGATATTATTATAATTGTTGCGAATAAAAGTCATACAAAAAGAAATTTTTTAATTTGTTCACAAGAAATTGATTAAAATCATTAATTTTCAAAAATATGGTAAAAACGTTCTCCTACCTACAAAAACAAACTTTTTGATAAAACATAATTTTTTTCCTCAAACTCTGTCGATAAATTTATCTTAAAAAATATCTTAAATGTCAGTCGCAAATTTCATGTAGACTTGTGTAATCGATTAAAAGAATATCAACAAAATTCAACAACGGAAGAAAAAAGCAACTATATACACTGTAAAAAAATTAGGGAGTTAACGGACTCGGGAGTTGGGAGTGAAATTTTTCGAGTTAAAAATCAACTCCAAAAGGGAGTTAATTTACTAACTCCTTTCATCAACACCCGCGAGAGTTATTTTTTTCTTGGGAAGCTAGTTTTAACTCTCTTTATTTAACTCCCCAAATGGGTGCGACTTTTATAGAATCCCCTGGGGAGTTAAAATTTAACTCCCTTTTATTACAGTGTACGGGAGACCGGGGCGTAATGAATCATTTCAATTTATTCAAAATTGATATGTCATAGTAATTTTGGTCTCCGCTCAAAATAATGTACTTGGTGTACTGTAAGTTTGTACCAAGTTTCATTGTTATTAATTTATTATTGTTGAAAATATGGTAGAAAAAGTGATTTTGACGCTTGAAAGTAAATTTTTAAAGTCTTTATTTTTTTGTTATATCTTTTTCAAAAGTAGTTGTAAAAAATGTTTGAAAATCACTTTTTGAGCTTAAGACATTTGTTTTTAAGGAACAATTGACAATTTTTGTCTAATAGTTACGATATTGATAAAAAATAACAAAATATTCAAACTTTCAAACAAACACCTCCGGGGCGTAATGGATCACTTAATCCTGTCAAGTTTAATTTCTTGTAATTTATATATTAATAAGTACAAATGATAACATTTTATTAAAAAAAATTTGAGAAAGGATTTTTTAAATAAATGTATTAGTTTGTATTTCGCTCCAAATTTATAAAATTTGATTATTTCACCAAAATGTTTAAAGTTTAAATTAAATATGTTTCATTATCAATATTGTTTATTATAAATATACAGTAAGAACCAAAATTGTAAATATTATAATAATATTTCATGTTTTAAATTATAATTTCATTCCTGATTCAATTCGCCCCGGGTAGTGATCCATTACGCCCCAGCCCGGAGCGTAATGGCTCACCTTACATTTCTCCAAAAAAATTGTACTAGAAAAAAAAGTATGAGATATTAGGACGTATTTTTTTAATTGAAAGCTGAGATATTGGGGTAAGTTTTCCATAAAATTTTAATTAATGCAAAAATGACGAAGTTAAATAACAAACAGTGAAAAGTGAGCCATTACGCCCCGGTCTCCCCTACTTTAGTAAAAAATTTAAAACTACTAAATAAAGTACTTAGTAAAATTTAACTAATAACTAATGGAAATTTCCATTGATTTGAATTAGTGAATGAGTTTTCACTAATTCAAATTTAGAAAGAAGTTGTCTACCATTAATGAATGGTTTGTTGGTAAGAATTATTGGTTTTCTAGAACGAATTAGCGGACTTTAATAAGAATAAGTAGCTTTTACAAAGAATTAGTTTATTTCTCGTTTCTATTCGCTACTAATTCGTCTGATTATTATTATTACTGTGCTACTAAAAATTAGTAGTTTCCTACCAAAAATTAGAATTTTTCCACGATGAATTAGTAAAATTCTACTAATATTTATTTTTAATTTTAATGCTTTTTAACCCTCCTACGATTTTATTATTTTTCAATTTTGCAGGAAATAAATTTATAATTTTGTTAAAATTAATTTTGATTATTTCATATTTATTTTGATATTAAATACAACTATTTAGCTTCAAGTTACACTAAGAGTTTTATTTATATGACTCTCGAATTTAATTTTTTTAAATAAATAAATGAAAGATTCCTCCCCTAGTATACTCGGGGCTAACCGTAGGGAGGTTAAACTATTTCTTTAAAAAATTAGGGTTTTTTAAAAATAAACATCAATTGTATTTTAATTTAATTTTAGTTTATTTGAATCCAATTCCATGCTTGTATTTTTTCGGAAGAACCAGTTTGGCTATATTTATACATACGCATGGAGAATGAATTCATATCTTTGCAACCTTCATTTTTATCTTTTTTCTTCTTATTCTTCTTCCTCTTTCTCTTTCTTTTCCTCTTTCTGTTCCTTTTTTCTTCTTCGTTCTCCTCCCCCCCCTTCTCCTTCGTTCACTGTAAAAAGAAATGTATTAATTTTGGTACCATATCAAAATTTAGTTCTATTTTAATACCGAAATAAAATCTGATTTAGCATTATTTTTAAAGTGAATATTTTCTTCATGTTTAAAAATAATTCTAAACTGATTTTTTTATATTAAACAAAGATAAAAATCAGTATTTTCTTACTGTTAAGAAGAAATATTAAGCTATATTCTAGAATATTTTCTTAATATTAATAATACTTTGTAAGTATTAAAAATATTTTCTTAATATTTGCGGGTAGTATCGTGTAGAGAGTATAATATATATATATAATACATTGGGAGTCTCCCCAGGAACTTGAATGCGAGCGAATCATTCCCACCATCATGCCCACTACAACTCCACCTTGAATGGTGGAGGCGAATTCACGTACTCCTTGTCTGTAATCTACTAAGCGAGATCTACGTATATAAAGTGGCATGGGGAGAATTGCAGTTCAGAAGCTTTGCTACGCTCGTTCACGCATCCGAAAAAAGGGGCCTCCTCCGTCAAGGGAGAGAGAAAGAGACAGAATAAAGTAACGCGTAAGGGTCGAGAGGTTACGAAGTGTGTGCTTCGTCGCGCATCCTTAACTTCAGGAAAATTCGGAAGTTTAACGTTGTACACAAGGTGAGTTGTGTCCCACCCCAAAAAAATTCAGTGAAAACAATTTTTTACGTGTTCTTAACAACAAAAATTTCTCTTTTATTTTTCTTTATTATCAAAAGTGGTGATTCGATCAAGTTTCTGCGATTTCGTTTTTCTTTTAACTTTAATCGAGTGACGAAATTTTCTTTATTTCATTTTTGGATAAAACTGTTAATTTTGAAGTCTATTTTTTAATTTGAAAAATTATTATTTTATAATTAATATAATGGATTTTTAATTTATGATTTAAATAGAATATAATTTTATTTTATGAATTATTGAATTTAATTATAATGTACAATAATACAATTTTAATTTTGAATTAATATAATACAATTATAAGTAATATAATATAATTATGATTAATTTAGTGCAGTTATTAATAAAACATAATTATAGTTAATATAATACAATTTATATATTATATAATAATTATATTCTTTTTAATTAACCTAATATAATTTTATTACCAAATTAAAGAAATATTTTCGAAACAATTTATTAAATTATTAAATTAAATGACGATAATTTTATATAATACATACATAATACATACATTTCAATTTTGTTCGTTTAACTGTTTTTTAATGATTGTGTTTATAGAAGTTAATTATTTCTATCACTAAATGAAGCTATTTACTTGTCGTTAAACTCGGCTTGAAGCTTAATCACTTGTGTGCTTTTTATCTTTCTCCTCAGAATTTATTATAAATTTAGAAATAATTATTTGCTTTTATTATTGTAAATTATTATTTATTTATGAACTAATTAATTAATTAATTTATTTTTTTGATTTTTTAATTAAAATTTTTTTATTTATTCATTAAGTACACCGGTTAATTACCATAATTTTCATTGATAAATTTTTATATTTTTCATAATTTTATAGAAATAAATAAATATTTTGAATAAGAATAAATATTAATGATAATGAATAAATATTTGAACAGAAATAAATAACAAATCAGCATAATTTACATAAATGAATATTACATTTATTATGTAAAATATTGTAGAAATTGTTTAAAATACATATTTCTATACTTGTAAAATATTGTCTTTGTTCAAATGAAATAATGACAATAGACAATCAGAACTAGATTTCATTTATCTAATTTGTGTTGTTATGGATAAATTTTTATTTCTCTTCCTAGGAAAAATGCAGTAACACCTTAAATAGCATAAATGTTCCAGTCTTAGTTTCTCACAATTATGTCTCAAATAATTTACATTCTCATTTTAATTTACAAAAGTTGTCTGAATCGGGCAAAAAAATTGACCCATTTCTTCATAACAATAAAATTCTGACACTGAAAGTGATGAAAATCTGTTAATTACTGAGACACAAATTATTTTTATTTTGTTATCAAATGAAATATAAATTTTAACTGAATTTTAATGATTTGCTACAACTTTTTTCTCTTTAAATGTTTTTGAATATATTATAATATTATATTTTTATAATTTTACAGAAATTAAAAAATTAATATTAATTAGGAATATTAATTAATATTATTATTTTATAATTAATAGGTAATTGTCAATATTATTAATTATTATTTAGTATAAAGTAATAATTATTAATTAGAAACTCGATCAGAAATTTAGTAAATTAATAACTGTTAATCAGTAATTATTAATTATTAATATAATTAATTAACATCAATTCTGAATATTAATTTATATTTACTAAGAACATAGAAGATTATTTATCACTTATTTATTCATTCACTTTTTTATTACCATTATTTATCTTATTGGTAATTATTATTTATTTATTAATTCATTCACTGGAGTTATCAATTATCATTTACAATTGTTGTTTAAATTTTCCATTAGAAAAAAACATTGAAACTGAACTGATTAATCGAATTTGCCAAATTCAAATTAATCTAATTTGATAAATTCATCTAAATTAATTAATTAATTAAATAATTAATCATTTAATAATTTCCTGATTGTCTTATTCGTTCAAGCTAAAAAAATGAAGACGATATTGGGTCTTATGTTGATATCCATTGTTGGATTATCGTTGGCCAATCCGGTGGAGAAGCTCGATAAAATCAGCGTCATTGAGCAGCAGTCCGTGACAATGAATGATCGTGCAAAATATGAGGAGGAACTTTTACGAAAGCTCAATCAAAAATGTTCACAGAATGACATTAATAGTTGTGTAATGTTAAAACTTGTTACCTATATGAATCGATTGTTGAAGAAAGCGAGCATTGAACTCACTGACGATATTGAAATTCGTAAAACGAGTCAAGCAACTGAGGAGGTAATTACATTTGAGGCGGGCAGAAGTAAAGACGATGAATCAGAAATATTCGATTTGATTGCCAATAAATTTTACGCATTCGTCAAATCACGTAGCATTAAATGGCGAATACTTCCTGATGAGGATGTTGTTGTTTCCGCATCTGAGGACGAGACAGGATCTCTAAGTCTTGGACTATCCATTGAGCGTTCCGACGATGCCGTTCAAGATGGTAATTAACGATTAATTATATTTTTATAGTTTGAACATTTTTATTATTTTGTGGTGTCAAATACTATTTTTTTAATTGTATTTTAATAGTGAATTACTTTTTTTTGTTAAACTATTCGGAACTATTTGATTCCATTCGTTTCTGTTCAATTCTATCAATTTCTACTCGATTACATTCGATTATTTTCAGTTCAATTCGTTTTTATTCGGTTCTATTGGTTATTAGTTATTAGGTTACATTTAATTCTATTCGGCTTTTCGGTACTATTCGGTGATATTTTATTCAATTCTATTGAACTGTACCCAGGTGGAAAAGTTAACGTTAGCTAACGTTAGTTAATGCTACTAACGTTAGATTAACGTAACTAACGTTAGACTAACGTTAGACTAATGTTAACTAACGTTATAATCTGAAATTAGTGATAAAAAAATGTCGTTAGACTAACGTTAGCCTAACGTTAGTCTTACGTTAGTTAATGTTAGTCTAACATTAGTAGCATAAGCTAACGTTAACTGACGTTAACTTTTCCACCTGGATAGTTAATTCTATTTAACTTCAAATCTCATTTTACTCAAATTTATTTAATTTTATTTCATTCTTCTAAATTCGATTTCATTCCATTTAGTTCTAATCACTTCTTTTTAATTCGCCAATTAATTTAACAAAAAGTATTATCAATTTTTTAGAAGAAGTAATAAATAATTAAACAAATATAGTAATAATAAAATGAAGAAACAAATCCAACAATTGAAAGTAAAATAAAGTTTGTGCATGAATTCCCCGTAAAGATGAGAGATTCATTTGAGGAATAATGTTTTATTAAAACGTAATTTATCACAAAAACATAAATAATGTCATTAATAGTTGTCGACAAGAAACCGCGATTAATATTTCAATCATTTCGCTTTTTCTTTCATGAATAATGTCATAAAAATTTCTCTTTCACTTCACCGCAGTGAAAAGATTTTTCTTGTCATTCAACTGGCAGTGAATCTGGTAAACCGTAAATAAAATTGGTTCAATTAGTATGCACTAAGAACCTAGACCTTAGGGTTAAATTGCTGTTATATGAAAGTGCTTAAAATTCAAATTTGAACCTGCTTATAATTTATCTTTATCTAACACTGAATTTGTTTTAAATTTACTTTTGTTGGAATTGTTGACATCATAGAAACAGTTATACTGACTGTATATTATAGCTACTTAGACCTAACGTTGAACCTACTTTGAACCTACCTTGATTCTATATTAATCCTATATTGTCTCTATTTCGATCCTAATTTGTATCCTATTTTGGTCCTTTTGAACCTACTTTAATCTTTCTTTGTACTATCATAAATCTGACTGTAATAATACTTTTGAACCTACTTTAATCCTACTTTGTACTCTCATAAATCTGACTTTAATTCTACTTTTGAACCTACTTTAATCCTACTTTATACTATCATAAACCTGACTTTAATACTACTTTGAAACTACTATGCTCTATTTTGAACATATTTTGAACCTAGTTTGATCCTACTGTATTCCATTTTTAAGCTATCTTTATCCTACTTTGTTCTTATCTAGAACCTATTTTAATCATAATTTGTTCTGTATTGAACTAACTATACTTTTCAAATCTATATTGTTTTCACGTTGAACCTAGTGCGAACCTACTTAGTAGTACTAGTAGAACCTACTTTTCTTCTACTGTTAACCTATTTGGACCCTGTATTCATGTGACATTAAATCTACGTCCACCAAACCTATAAACTACTTTATTTTTAATTTTAGTTTAATTTTACACTAAACTTATTTTAATATTACGTTAAACAAATTTTAATCTGACTTTGAACCTAATTTTAATGTTACATTAAAATCTACCTTGGCCGTATCTGTTGAATTTATTTAGACACAATTTTGAACCTACTTTGAAATTTTGAATTTAGTATGACCCTTATTTTATTTTACAGTAAGCTTATTTTTATTCTTTATTGAACCTATTTAATCCTTATCTGGCGCCAGCTTTGTTTACGTTAAATCTACCTTATGCTACTTTCATCCTACACACGCTAAAAAAAGTTCTACTAAAGTAGAAATAACAATCACTATAATAGCTTTAAGTTTTACTGATTTGTCTCCATCGATAATCCATTTTCGCTGATCCAGCGAAAATGATATTTCTTGCGTTACCTTTTGAAAACAACACAACTTTAAAACAACACTTGAATGAAAACATTTTTAAATTAATGTTCAAAGCGTATATTTAAATTCTATTAATTATATTTTTTATGTTATAACTAATAAAATGTAAAATTAGTAAATTAATACGTATTTAGAGGTAAGAAATGTAAATTTGACATTTGTGATTTTAAAGAAATTTCTCTGAGAATGGTAAACTGTCAAATATTTCCAATATGACTGACCAGTTATATTCATTTTCTCTATATCAAAGAAACAGTTTGACTACTGCATTGGAAACCATTCACTGAATTAGTTGCATAGATTCTTTATATTATTTATTTTCAAAATTAGCTGTATCCCACAGTAAACATTTTTTTCCGTGCACTGAGTCTATTCTTAATCCATACCATGAACCTATTTATTTTGATTCTAAAATGAACCTCTTTTTTATTCTGTAATAAACCCATTGCAATCATATGAAGAACCTATTTTGATTTTACGCTTCATTTATTTTAATCCTACCTTAACCCCTTCGCAGTCAAGAACAAAATCTCATAAGTGGGCTCAAAATGTTAACCACTTTTTAGAAAACTAAGATTTGCGCGAACGAGTATGTCAAATTTTAAAAATTCAAAATAGCGGATCAAATATGGCGGAAATTTAAAAAAATTCATCAGATTCACTTGAAACTCGTTACTCGGGGGTTTTCGGGGTCGCTGATAGTGAATCTTGCATCAGATTTTGAAAATTCAAAATGGCGGATAATTTTTCCAAAAAATGTCATAAAATTTAAAATTGCTTCAAAATCCATAGCAAACCATTTCGAGTAACAAATTTCATACACATATGGACAATTTTCAAAATATCTTTCCCCACATTGAAAACGTTTTTTAAAATTTTATTAATCTGAGATCGAAATCAGAACAGGAAACACAAAAACTTTTGACTAACAGAATTCAAACAAATCTACACTGAGAGACCTTTGGGACTGTAGCGGAACAACGTATGTGACAGCAGCTCCACTATAGTTTTGGTGCGCTGCGGTACAATTTTGGGCACGTGACAGTCCAAAATGTTGGTGAACAGCTCACCGAAGTAGTGGGAATGCCGCCTTTGGTTTGCAGCTGAACAACTTTTGGACTCTCACGCGCCCAAATTTGTACCGCAGCAACCCAAAAGTATAGTCCTGTAGCGTTCCACTAAACCCCGAGTAATAAGTTTGAAGTGAATCTGATAAATTTTTTAAAATTTCGTCCAGAATATTGAAATCGCCACATTGTATTTTCAAAATCTGATGCAATCAGCATAAGAAAATTCTGGGTTCGCTGATTTGCAATCAGCGAACCTAGAAACCTGAGTAACGAGTTTTATTTGAATCCGATGAATTTTTAAGAATGTCGTTCGCCATATTGGATCCGCTATTTTGAATTTTTTAAAGCTGACATCGGATTGGTAATCAGCGACCCAAAAACCCCCGAGTAACAATTTTGAGACAAACTGTCTGTTTTTCTAGCCAAAAATCCACTTGCGTTTATACACGATATCGATAGTTTGAGCCCACCTGTACTATGAGCTGTATACACGACATTGACTGCCAAAGGGTTAACCTGCTTTAATGTTATGAATACAAATTTTTTTATTTTATTTTATTTCAAAATATATATTTAAATCCTACTTTAATTCTATTGAACCAATTTTATCCGTACTTTTAATCTATTTTAATTCAACATTCAACTTTTATCTTTATGAACCTTTATCACTTTAGTCAATTTTTACTCTATATTGAACCTATCTTAATCCTCTAATTGACCAATTATTATTCTTAATTGAACCTATTTTAATCCTCAAGTGAATCAATTTTTATTCCATATTGAACCTACTTTAAACCATTATGGACCCCATTTTTATTCTATATTAAACCAAATTTTGTCCTACTATGAACCTATCCCAATCCTATCGTTAGTGCTAACCAAACAAAGAAAAGACAAACCATCTCAAAATGAAATTTCTTTGATTTAATAAAAAAAATTTACAAACTAAAATAGAATGAAAACTAAAATTTGTTTCCTGTTCCTTTTTCAGGTCGCGGAAAGAAGAATAACATGGGACCACTATTGGCCGCAGCTGTCCTAAAAATTGGCTTAATCGGTGGTCTGGCATTCAAGGGTCTTGCCCTACTCGTTGGCAAAGCTCTTCTCCTCTCGAAAATCGCTCTCCTATTGGCCGGTATTATCGGTCTCAAAAAGCTCTTCTCACAACAAAAACACGTGACATATGAGGTCGTTGCCCATCCACATCACAGTTCGAGTCACAGTGTTAGCGAGGGTCACGGTCACGGTGACAGTTACTCGAGCGGTTGGGCAAGAAGCTTCCACAATCAACCAATATTGGCCGGCACGCCAGACGCACAAGAATTGGCCTATTCGGCTCATAAAAAATGAGCAAATTCGTCTAGACAACCATTGACCCTGGGTCTCAGGACAGAGTAACCTGCCAAAAGGAAAACTGACTTCCGGGATCTCATTCTTTTTTTTTTAATTTTTGGTCTTAACCAAAAAAGAAACAAAACTACGCACTCTCTTGCCGTTAAAAATTTAAGTCATAAAATTACAAGTCGTTTCCCTCCCCCTCAACCCTTATTCATCATCATTTTTTTTTAATTTCACATTCATGGTTCCCATTCCCCATCGCCCTCCACCCAAATAATCAAAAAAACTTCTCAAGTGAGAGACACGGATATTATTATATTGTACTTATTTATTTATTTATCATTAAGGACGGATTGGACCCGGACTCATTTTGACTCGCACTAGTGGACAGAATCGACCTGTATTAATAACGGACGTAAATTAGCCAAGGTTCTTTTCTAGAATTGTGAGCATTAAGGTGCGTGTTATGTGTTTATATATGTACATGTATATGATGATATGCATGCACGCACTGCTCACCTACTTTCTCGAATCGAGATCGTTTCAGTGAATTGCCTTGTTGCAATATTACTCTTATCTCAGACGTATAACTGATCAAGGTTGAGATTAACGGACCAAAAAGGAAAAAAAATCTTGTATTTATAGAAATCGAATAGACAGAGACTGAAGAAAATTATTGTGATTACGATTTCGAGTGAACTAATTTTTAAGATAAATGACGGGATATTTTCGTGATGACAGGAATTGGAAATTTATTCTTGTTTTTTTACAAATTGAGAGATTTTTATGTTAAATGAAAGGAGAACAGTTTTTTTATGAGTTTGAAGACCTTTAAAGTACCACAAGATTTGGGAGTTCAAAGACATTTTAAGAGTCCTAAAGCTTCTTAGGTCCAAAGACATTTTAAGAGTCCAAAGATTTTTTGTGTCCATAGATATTTCCAGAGTCTAGAATCCTCTTAAGAATTTGAGCATACTTTAAGAGTCTAAAAACTTTTTATGAGTCCAAAGACATTTTTTAAGACTAACGTTTTTTAAAAGTCTAAAATTATATTAAGGGTCTGAAGACATTTTAAGAATCTATAGATCATTTAAGGGTCGGAAGATTTCTTGAAAGTCCAAAGAAGTCATAAGAATCAACCGACCTTTTAAGAGTCAAAAGATTTCTTAAGAGTCCAACGACGTTTTAAGAGTATACCGACCTTTTAAGAGTTAAGCAGATTCTTAAAAGTCAACCGACTGTTTAAGAGTCTAAAGAATTTTTAAGTTTACAAACAGTTTAAGACTCACCAGACTCCTTAAGTATCAAAATACTTCTTAAGAGTCCAAGACATTTTATGAGTCTAAAGTCTTTTTAAAGGCCTAAATACATTTTAATAATCTAGTAACCTTTTAAGAGTAAAAAAAAATTTTATAATTAAAAATATCATTCAAGAGTTACCGACCTTTTAAGAGTCTACAGATTTCTTAAGAATTAAAAGATTTTCTAAGAGTTTAAAGACATTTAAAGTGAACACACTCTGTAAGAGTCCAAAAACTTCTTAAATTTCTAAAAGGTTCAAAAGCTTTTTAATAGTTAAGATAATTTCTAAATGTCAAAAGACTTTTTAGGTCAATGTTTAAGAGTTCAAACATTTTGTAAGAGTTCAAAGACTTTATAGGTCACTAGACTTCTTAAGAGTTTAAAAACTTTTTAGGTCAACAAGTTTTCTAAAAATCAAAAGACTTTTTAAATCAATAGACTTTTTAAGAATCATAGACTTTTTATGTCAATAGACTTTTTAAAAGTTTAAGGAATTTTTAGGTCGACAGATTTTGTAAAATTAAAAAAAAAATTTTAGGTCAATAGACTTTTTAAAAGTTTAAGGACATTTAAGGTCAACAAGCTTTGTAAGAATCAAAAAACTTTTTAGGTCAAAAGACTTTGAAAGTGTCGAGAGACTTTTCAGGTCAATTGTCATTTTTAAGAGTCCAAGGACTTTTTATGAGTCAAACACAAAAAAACAATATTTCAAATGACAGGCGGAAAATTCTAAGGACTTTTACTAAATTTAAAGGACGTTTACAAAATTCAAAGAACATTTACGAAATTCAAACTACAGTTACGAATTGTAAAGGACGTTTACATAACTCGCAGAACATTTACCTAAAATTCATTTTAATGAATGAATTTAAATTCTAATTACAATTAAAATTAAAATAAAGACGTATTTAAAACAAATGAGACAGAATAGAAGAACTCATACGAGACGACACGTGTCAAAGAACTCTATATACGACAGTGAAAAGACATTTACAAACAATAAATCCAAACGGCTACATTTTTAAAAAAAAGTAAGTCAATGGTCTACTATTTTTTTTCTTTCTCTTTTTGAGTTGACTGGAGGTCACGAGACCTGACGATAATACCAATGACCCTTAACTTAACGCACCCAAGACGAGTGACACTAGAACACAATTCACCTGAGACAAAGTATTGTAGATTGAAATGTAGTTAGCAAAACGACCCACGATGTATCGCGTAACTTCCCCTCATCGAAGCTAATTAAGTAATTAACTTATTTCTCCTATTTCACGAGAGTGAAAATTGTATCATAACTTTTCATTGTTGTCCATTGTGAGAATAAATATTTATTGTTTTTTATAAAGAAACGAGATCTATCCTTTTTGAATTTTATATTATTATCATAACAAATTTATGGTTATTTAACAATTTTTTTTATAATTATTCTTATTTTAAGTGTTCTTTCCTTAATTATAACATAATGATTTTAAAAATGGTAAATTTTGACAAACGCAAACAAAAAAATTGTGTTGTTTAATTTTATATTCTATTAACATTCGAATTTAATTTTTATTATTATTATTTACTTATTGAATTTAGACCGCCAAAGTAGTCTTTGTCTATTATCTAATAATATTTTTAATTCTATTTTTAATATTACTTTTAATTTTATAGGTTTAATTTCATATTTTACTTTTCTTTGTTAGGTACCTTATTTTATAATAATCAGTTTTTAATATTACATCTTGAAACAAAATTTCTTCTTGAAAAAGTAGGGAAATATTCTCGCTTTAGCAAATTTTTTCTTTTAAGTAAAATACTGGATCAAAAAATAATTCTTCGAGAAGCTAATTTCAAGTATTTGTTAATATAATAAAAATAGAAATATATTTAGAGATAAATATTATTTAGGAGCTGAAATTAAAAAACTTTTCAAAAAATGTAAAAATTAAAATAATTTCTGAAGAATTTCGCGCTATTTTCTTATTATAATAATAATTCCATCAAAAAATGTAATTAGCGTGTATAATTTTTTTTTGTTTTTATAGAATAACTTTCTAATTATATGGTAAAAGATTATAATTTTCAGTGTGTGCGAGATTTAGAAATTTAAATCCGGCTCAGATAACTGCGGATGGAAATCTTCAATCAACACACGGATTTAACAATTTTTTCTTCTCACACTCATGAAACTGTAACGATCTATTAACACAAAAAAGTGGATAGACTGCTGTAAATAGATTTGTTTCGAATCTTGAATTATAAATAATCTTTCGATCAAGTTTTGAAAAGTAATGTATGCAATGATGAAGAAGGTAAATTTACTTTATAAACGCGGAGGCTAGAAAACTTGAAATATATAACAGGAAACTCTAAAATAGGAAAGTTACAAGTGAAAATTGAGTTTATCAGGAGGGAAATAAAAAAATATTTGAGTTGACACGTTCCAATAAGTACTTAATTTATACGCGAATATCTCGTTTAGTCGTGCCATAGTTTTCTTATTATTTAGTTTTTTTGTTACCGCTGTTTAGTGAAGCAGGAAAAAATCGAGAGAAATATTTGTCAGTCTATAAATTCGATAGCGAAAGAGGAAAAATGTGGATCAAATCCTTGAGCGTAATATCTAAAAGGAAGAGTTGAAAGTTAAAAGATTTATTTATCTTTTGGAATTTTAAATTTGTTCTATTATTTACGCTATAAATTTTATTTTTATTGTATATTCAATTCTTCATTATTTTTTTAAAAAGCAAATTAGCATAATCCTCTTATTTCGTATTATTTCGTAATAATAATATGACGTATTTTTTCTGTCACGGTAAGTAGATTATTTAATTTATTTACATAAAAGCATTTCGAAAATTTATTCACATTTTATGAAATTTAATTCATTTTTTATCATTTTTAACTAAATATTTCTTAGACAAATAAGAATTCAAATTTAATAAAGTAATTACTATTTTGTTTTTCAAATTAATCCTGTAATTCAATTTTAAACTTAAAAAAAGAATTAATTATTTTTATTAAAAAAAATTGCCTATAAAAATAAATACTTCAAGTCAAATTCCATGAGTTTATTATAAATATTATAATTTGCTGTTCATTTATATAAATTATATAATATAATTATTTTAAATAATTTTGGCGTAGGAAATATGATAAAGAATAAATAAATGATACAAACAAAAGAACAAAAGTTCTCGATTTTTTTTAAAAGGTAGTTTTTAATTATTTTAGTTATTCGAAATTAACGAAAAATATAAAAAGAAAGTAATTTAGACAATTACCATAAAGCTATTTTAATTAAATAGTAAAATTTTTAGTTAATTAAAAGAAATAAAGTTTTCAATTTTTGAATTTAGGTATATTTTTTAATAAATATAAGTAACTTAACATAACTTAAAAAATTGCTAAAATTAATTTAAACAGTAAAATTCTTGCTAAATTGGAAAAAATAAAGATTTTAATTTTCGGATGTATTTTAATTTATTTGATGATTGTCTTTTGGCGTTAATTTATTAGTATTGAATGGAGCACACATTTTACGCTGAATGGGTAAGTAGTTATAAGGGAGGGGAAATATGTTACTGTAAACTAGTCTTCTGAAATGATGATGATGCTGCATTCCAAGGTTGATTCTTAAAAAATTTGAAAATAGGAAAAAAACAGAAACTCGATTGCAGTCGAATTTGATTGATACAATGACGGAAGAGATGTATTCTCAAAATCGATAAATCTTTAATAAAATCTAAAACAGTTTTTGATAATTTTGTAAGTCATTTTTATGAGTCTTTTTATTTTTAAGTTCCTGTACTTTTACTTCCGTATCTTTTTTCAAATTTTCTTCTTTTCTTATCATTTTTTTCCTCTTTAAGATTTTCTTTATTTACTTGTTTTCTTCTTTGCTATTCTTTCTTTTCTTCGTTCTTCCACCTCTATCTTTTTTTCCATTCTTCTTTTTCTTGCTTTCATTTTGTTTTTTCTTATTCTTGTTTTCATTGTTTTATCATTTATGTTCCTTCGCTTCACCTTGCTCTGATTTTTACTTTTCATTTCTTCTTCTATTGTTTACTTCTAATTCTTTGTCCTTTATTTCTTCTTTTCCTTTTTCCTTCCCTTGTACTCCTCGTTTTTAATTTATTTTTTGTACTTTATTATCTTTCTGCACTGCCTGGTTTTTTCACCAATTTTTCTTTTTTTCTTCTTCATTTTCTGGGCTGCAATTTTGTAATTTGACTTTGACTTTCGATTTTGATATTGACTTTGACGTTAATTTTTATTTTCACTTTGACTTTCAATGTCAAAGTCAAAGTAAACATCATAGTCAGAGTGTAAATGAAAGTTAAATTGAAAACTTGCTCAATGGCAAAGTTAAAATCAAACCAAAAGTCAAATTACAAAATCCTCTGGTCTTCAAATCTTTCTTCTTCTTCCTTTTTATCTTTCTTATTATGATGGTGCAGCAGAATGATAATTTATATTATAATAAATAATAACAACCTATACTCTTGGTTTTCAAAAAAAAATAAAAAACAACAAAAATAATAAAATCACCTTTCAAAAGCAAAGAAATAAAAACTTTGTAAAGAAAAAAAATAAAAACTAAAATTAAAAAATATTTCCTTTTAAATTTAATTGAATATTCTTCAATTAATTCAAAGTATTCTTTTGTTTTGAATATGAATATTATCAAACAGTTATACAACGGTTATTACAAGGGTATGTTTCAATAACATATATTCTTTTCCCGCATGCCAAGATCTAATGCATGTGAAAAATGAAGTAATTGAATGCTTTCGTATGATTAAAGATGATTTTTAATCTTCCATTGACTTGATTTGATCTGGCGTGAAAGGCATGCGAAAAATCTCGCCCACGGGGCGTTAATGCGAACGGATCGTTTTATGATTGTTTACGTCGTAAAGATGATCCGTTAGGTGAATTCAAGGTGCGCCCAAGTTTTAGTAAATAAAACACATGTGTAGCATTCTTGTGCTCAAATAAAACAGAAAAAAATTTAAACAAGAAAAATTATTAATATAAATTATATTGTGCTCAAATAAAACAAAAAATAAATTTAAACAAGAAAAATTATTAATATAAATTATATTCTTTTCTTGATTCCTTTTCTTTTCTTCTGCTTCATCATTATCTTCTTTTACTTCATCTTTTTATTATTTTTTTTTGCTTAGGGAATTTTGGGAAATCTGCCTACAGATACCTTGGATTCCGCCCTCCAAGGTTATGTGGGGTTGGTATAATAAAACAAAAGAAAATATAAAAATAGTATATTTCGTAACGAGTGCGAGCAGTTGCCAACTTTTGAACGAGCACTTTTTTTGGAACAAACTGTAGGCGAAGCGAAGCATCTCTGACAGTTTTTTGTTCTGTCGGGGCCTTTGCAAATTCGGGTCACGTGTCCATACGCCAGGCACTTTTGACATCTTGTCATTTCTAAGTGTGCTCGGATGGATGCGTTTATCCATCCTATGCGCACTTTGCTTAGCTTCAATAGACACTCTCTGTCCGATTCATTTATTCGGACTAGTGCCACTTTCGTACCGCCGAAACGTGTCAGAAGTCGTTAAGTCACATCCAAGTCAGGCTTCTGCAGCTTCTCCTTTAAGACGGTTACAACGTCCTCTTCCGAAGTTGTTTCGTCAAGATCCCGAATTTCGAGGGTCCTTTTATTGACAAGAGCCGTAACATGAGCCTTGTCTAGCAAAACAGAGGTAAGTTTCTCCGCGAACTTCGAAGCTTCTCCCCCTTTCTTTACCACAACAAGAACCTCCTTTTTTAATGTTCTTCTAATTTTCAGAATTTCGGTGCCAGTTTCCTCTGGTTTAACCAAAGTTATTGCCACTCTTATGAGATCATGATAGGATTCTGAGCTGAAATTCTGACTGTCTCTGTGATTCTGAGTTTGGAGGGCGCTTCTGAAGTCCCTCCTTTTCTTTTTCTCATCAAGGCCTTTTTCTTATGGGTCTCCCGTTTCTTACTGATGACGGTTTTAAAATCTTTTTCTTCATCAGACTCCTTCTTCACAGTTGCCTCCGCACAAGACGACTTGCTCAACAACATTCTTTTCGAAGCTGTTAAGTTCCTTATCCACAGAATTTTTGTTTTAGCCCCCTCCAAAATTCTTGGAGCCATCTGCACTGACTACCAGGGCTTGAACCTGATCAGAATCGATGGTGGGATTACCCCCTTCCGAGGTACCCACTTGGAGTATATTATTTGAATTTTGATTCATTTCATGTTTTTTTTATTTCTTTGTCCCTTATCGAGAAACAAGCGAGCATAAACAGGGTACTACCATCTGGCCAAGATGGGCCCTGAACCGCCTCCGTTAGTTACATAGACGTTA